CCCTCTAATCTCTAAAAATAAAAAAAAAAAAAAAATCTGTAAAAATAAACTGGTTTATTATCAAAACTAATCAACATTCTATATAAGTTATATGTTCATTCAGGTAATGACCTTTATTATGGATTTTTTAATTTTATCACAGCTAAGATATTGTACAGATAATGTTGGTGTTTAGACTTTGTTTATTAAAAAATTAGAAATTAATAAAAACAAAAATATTATGAATTAATAAGTTTTTCATTACTGTATTACATTTAATACTACAAATTTTGAAGTGTTACTTGAAATGAGTTAAACAAATTAAAGCTTTGAAATGAACTATACAATATTAATGGCTTTCAATTTTCGGAATTAGTTGAGTTTTATATAATTTATATATGAGATCTGACAATACGACGTATCTGAAAGAGATAGAAAGAATTAAATTATGTAATTATTTCATAATATTAATGTGTATGCAAAAAAACAATTTTTAAATCTTCCTAAGATAAAGAAGGAACAACTATTTTTTCAGCTTTTGTTGTAAATTTAATTAATTAAATTATCTAGAGGATAGCATTTAAATTCCAATTGGAGAATAAAATTCTACTCTTTAGTGTTAATTGATTTATAAATAAGTCCAAGAAAATGAAATTGTATAGTTATAACCTACAAAGATATAAAAATTTTAATTTTAAATTATAATAGATATTTTTCTATCTATTATAATTTAATTTACTTTTAAGATCATTACTAACAAACATATCTTACATAAACATGCATCAATTAGCAAATTATCAAATATATAAACAGATTTTAAAAAAAAAATCAGTTCTAATTAATTTGATTAAATAAAATTTTTTAACAAAACTTTTATTTAGAATCTTACAATGGATATGCCATTGTATCTTTGTATTTCGTAAACAACTGAGAATGATGTCAAATTTTGATTGATATTACTAAATGATTCTCATGATATATAATAAATTTTCAAATGTCTTGACATAATTTAGATATTTCAAAAAATTTTATTGCTCTAAAAATAGTTTTGAATAGTAACAAATTATCAATTTCCAGTAGAAGTTAATGCATAAACAGATAAACGATAATTATTAATTAAAAAATTAAATAAGAAAGAAAGATCTAAATGCAAGAAGTGGATAAGGAAGAGAATTTAAGTTCTGTCTGTATATGTTTTTTTTAAATTTAAATTTAAACAAATAAGAAAATGTATATGGAAAATCATTTAAGTTATAGAATATTAAGAAATTAATAAAAATCATTCATTTCTAATATTTTATTTAATATGTTCAATTTTACATAAACTAAAAAAGTTGTAATTCATATAAGTGTTTCTAGTTTAAGTAAAAAGCGAATATGTTTAATAATATTAATGTAAGGGCAAGAAGCAGAGTTATTAATAATTCTAATAGTTTATAGGATAACATATATAGTAAAAGAATACTAAAAAATACAAGAAAAAAATATATTTAGTAAAAGCTCACTTTCAAGAATAATGACGGTTTTCAGTTTTTTATAAGAACTATTTTAGACACTTTTGTTTTAGTCTAAAACCCTTGTTTATAAGACATAAACCTTTCTTATATATTCATGTTATGTCTCATTCTGTAAATAGAACTCTAAAATTTTCACAAAGTATCTGCATGATACTTTTCTGTAAGATATATTCAAACCAGAAAATATTGACAGAATCATAAAACTATAGGGGAGGGTGGGGATGAAAGGGACAAGGGATGAAAGGGACAGCCTCTATAACTTGCTGCTAAATTACTTATGGAGCTTTGCTATTTCATGGATAGATGACACTAANTTTTAAGCAAGTGATTTTACTGGTTTGTTTATTATTTTGAAATGTTTATATTTTTCCAATAAAAATATGCCTAGTATTGAAATTTTACTAATACAAAATATAATAATACAGAAATTATAGCTTAGGTGTACATATTTATAGCCAAAATTGACAGTGCATACTGCCACTGTGTTGATATCATACAACTATGCTGCTGGACACAACTTCAGTTTTGCAACGATGTCACCGGTTGAGGATCATCCATTGATGACAGGCTAAGCTGAGGATTGGGTACCTTTTGTAAATATGAATCTAAAGTTGTTTGCCATACCTTTCTTTTCCTCACCTTCACAATTTCATAATGTGTTAAGGCTTCATTTAAACTCCTTACAAAGTCACTTCATTTCCAATCAGGACTCATTTAAAGCACACACTTGGATATTTTGTATTCACTAATTTTCTTTTATTTGTCTTGGATATTCTTTTTCTGTTTTTATTATTACACAATAACTTCATTTTAAAATGGTGAAATACTGTGTGAACAATAAACACTAAAATAATACACAAACCAACACTGCTTAGAATCATTATTAAATCAAAGTTGCTAATAGCACTACCAATGATACCATAAGATGCAAAAAAATATTTGCATTTAGCAGTTGCAAAAAATATTCTGCACATTAAAAAGAAATTTTTTGGGGAAAATTTGAAATGTGTCGTTGTCAATTGGTGTAAATCGAATCAACAGAAAATGAGGGCAGCCTGTATTGGAAAACAATTTTTTGAAACTTGGTATCAGAAACTACAAAAATATAATTTTTAATAAAAAAAATATACAATTTTGTTATTAAAAATATGACATTTCTAATATTATGATTGTAAATTTCAAAGCTTGGTGACTATATTTTGATAGAAAAAATTATAGTTGAGAAACATAAGTTGCAAATAAAATTGCTTTTCTCTGAATGGCCATGAGTTTGACTTGCACCTTCTTGGTTATTATTCCAGGTGATATGTTATAATGAATTTTAACAAATTTTCTTTGACCAACAGTTTTTTTGACATCATTTAAATTTGTGATTGCAACATTGAGAAGTAAATGGCTAATGTTCAATGCCCTTTCAATTGAATAAAAACTGAGAATCTTAAAATTTTTGAACAGAAATCCTCAGATGAGAAAGAATGAAGTTGTGACCAAGTTTGGTATTCCAACCACTCACCACACCAGGATATAGTTAACCACGTACTCTGAATCAATTATGTATGTGTTTGGTATTCCATTGAGTACTCTTTCAATGGTAATAAAAAAACAGAGATTTAGTAAAGAAAAACTTCAAAAACAACAACAAGAAAGTGTAAAAATCAAAAATGTTCTTTTCCAGAAATAGATGAATGTGTTAGAAAATGGTTTGTCCAATATTGTGATCAAGGAGTTCCTCTTAGCAGAATGATGTTACAAAGGAAAACTGAGGATTTTGCCAAAAGATTTGGCCATAGTGAATTTAAAGCCAGCACTGAATGTCTAAAGGTCTTTAAAAGTAGACACAATATTGTCTTCAGGAAACTTTGTGGTGAAAGTATGTCTGTGCCTCAAAGTGTTACATCTAACCTGAAATCCCTCGATCAAGCAATCATTCAAAGATTCAAAATGGGATACAGAAGAGAATTGGTTCAAAAACTTGTAGATGCCATTGACAATGGCAATACCCTTCCCACTATCAACGTTTTGGATGCTATGAGAATGATAGACTATGCTTGAAAGAATGTTACAGAAAAGACAATCAATAACAGTTTTCTAAAAATAGGGTTTAAGCAAAAAAACAATAAGGAAGAGGAACAGCAAAAAAACACCATTGACCTGGTGAAAGACAGAAATCAATGAATTAAATTCAGAAGAATGGATAATTGTCAAGAGTAGACTTAATCTAGACATTTCATTTAAAGAGTTTTTGGATATGGATGATTCCCTGGTAACACAAGAATGTTGACAGATACAGAGATCATGGAAAATGTGAGAGGAGTTTATGAAAATGATGAACTAAAGGATCATATAGATTCATCTAAATCATTACCATAAAAGAAGCTGAAAAGGCCATTGAAATGTTTAAAACTTTCCTTTAATGTCAGGAAGATGTCAGTCGGGATGCATTTGCAGCTATTGCTTACCTTCAAAAAAGTCAGGCATCAGAAATTATTGACCAACTATCTCTGCTAACAGATGTCAAAAACGTTTTATTTTTATTTATTACAAGAATGTACTGCACATGCTATTGTATTAATAAAATACCATACCTCGAATCAAACCTATTACTGTTTACTGCATACAAACCTCTGTATCTTGAAACCTATCTTTCTCAAAGTTTTTTCTCGTTCCTGTGAAATCTGAGACAGACAGTTTCGACTGCATATATATATTGTAAATAATGAAAAGAAGAAAAAAACCTAAGAAGGCTGAATTTTCAGCATATAGTGACAGGAAAGTCATCAATTTACAAAATGATATCTGAACTGAAAGCAAATGATGAATCATCAAAAATGTTAAAAACCATCTCAACTTTAATATTACTTCTCAAATTTGACTGTAAGAATCATATCTTGTTTAATGATTGGATTTTAAATAAGATTTTAGTATTTCATTACATATTGCAATGTATCACACATATTCAAATTTTCTATATTTGTGAATTTTGTAACTTTTGAAATGATCAAATATGTTTGTCTATGTTGAAAAATCTATGAAAATAAAATTCAAATACTTGAAAAATTTTCATATTAAATAATTTTAGTTTATAAAATATGAAAATTCTCAAGTTTACATCTTAAAAGATATAATCTAACTGATTAAACTTAATTCAAATATGACTAATTACGAGAAAAATAATTTCAATAAAAAATTTATTTATGTGATGATATTATTGATGTTCAGAATGATCCAAAAGTAGAAAAAAAGATCTATTTATTAAGAAGTTTGTCAATTATATGAAGTACAATAGATTATATTTAAAATTTTTAATTTGTCTGCAAAAGGTTACACAACAGCCACATCAAGTTTCATATTTTTAATACTATTTGTGAAATGAATACTCAACCATGAAAGTAATTATAATGTCTGAATATGCAACTGAATATTTGAAAGTTAACTTATGTATTTAGTAATGTATTTTAATAATTATTATCCATATTCATGTTTAAGTAATTTAATTTTACTTACCTGCCTGATAAGTGAAGCATATGTAAATGGTGGTCTAACATCAGCAGTTCTATAAAATTCTCTGTTCCTGTTAATTTCTAATAAAAAAATTTAATAATTGAGATTTTAAATCTTTTAAAAAGATTACTTATATTTTAAAATATGTAAAAATGAATTTTTATCCTTCAAAATAAAGTGTTTACCTTCATTGATATCAAGATTTGACCTTTCTGCCACTCTCCTCCTAATTGGTGAATCAGGAAGAAGTGGTACATCTAAACCTAAAGTAAAAAATTATTTTATCATCTTTTAACAAAAGTAAACAAGAAGATTTATTCTGGTTACATATTTAGTAATTTTAAAAATTAATAAAAATAAAACAAATTTTTAATCTAGTTCATAGATAAAAATTTTAAATAAAATTATATTCAAATTTGTATTGTAGAAATCATTGATTAATAAAATCATTTTAACATTATTTATGTGTTTGGCCACAGATAATATAAAGGCAGAATTTTGTACAGTAGCAAAATTATATACAGTGGAACCTCAGTATACGACCTTAATCCGTTCCCGATGTTTGGACTTATACCGAATTGGATGTATACCAAACCAACCTTTCCCATAAGAAGTAATGTAAAAATGATTAATCCGTTCTCGTGTAAAAAAAATGGCTGGCTTTAAACACCTCGCTTTCCTGGCTAGTTCGTGTTTGATTTTTCGTGAGATCAACGTGTATCTTTTTAACTTTCTCGCAAATAATTGCTTCCGATATGCTGTCTCCAGCACTGTTTTTCAGTTATCCAAAGCAAAAGCAATTTCTCGACATGATCTAATGTCTTCGATCTCTGTTTAGAAATTGATTTAACCCCTTTTGCAACATTAGCAGATTTAATAATGTCTTTATTTTTCGCATTTGTCGATATCATTGTTCTCGGAATACAGTAGGCAATAGTTAAAATCTCGAACACGTGTGCCACCTTCGTATTTCTCAACAATCTCTTTTATCAGTTCCATTGTAATTCTAGTAATTTTTTTTAGTTTTCTGTCGCTTTTCATTTGCCTTTTTGCAATTCGTGATTAATAAAAATAATAAAATTTTACTTACGAATTAAAATCAGATGAAATTTAACAAAGTTATAAACCGTTGCACTGCGAACGTCTAGTCTGGTCTAGTACACCGATAGTGCTACTTGTTCATTGATGGCACATATAATTGAATTATGTCGTATACCGAACAAAAGTCGTATACTGAGCAAAATTTGTTTTGTCCAAACAGGACGTATTCTGAATTGGACGTATTCTAAAGCGGACATATACCGAGGTACTACTGTAATTTTTTTTACTCAAACATTGCAAAACCAAAATTTCCTACTAAGATACTGAGTTTGTTTATTATTTCAAGTAATAAAAACAATTACATTATAAAATCTTGTGATTAAAAGTATTAATTAAAATACTGATGCCAGGAATTCATGGCATTAGTGTAATTATAAAGCCGATGATTTTATTTCATAAAAAGATGTTAAAAGAATAACGTAACATTCAATCACTGATAATCAAATCACCCAACAATCCAACAAATACAATGAGTAACCTGTCTATTTTAACAGAAAACAATATATTAATGTATTAAATAATGACTGAAATACATACATAAATATTTTAAATCATAAAAACTTTTTAAATGAATTTTAATTAAAATTTTAACAATAAAAGAATTAAAATGGATTAAATTTTTAATCAAAAGTCATTAATTTCAAGTCCCAAAGTAGTTATATTTTAAATTATTCACTATATTTCATATCTGAAATTTAATTTTGTATATTTAGTAAAAAAAAATAAAATTTGATTACATTTTTATTACATGCTCTTTTTTTCAAAAAGAGCCTGTAATAAAAAAAGTAAATATTTCCCAATAGATATAGGAAGGCACAGTTTTTACTAAATAAAAGGATTAAAATTGATAATTTAAATTTTATTTTAATTCTTTACACTCATAAAAAAAAAAACATAATAACTGTTTGATTAATATCTCTATAGAAAACTATTCATTTTAAAATAATGTACAAAATTAATAATTATAACTATTAATTTTTTATACAGTTTTCTTTCAATTTATTTGACAATGTTTAATTAATTAATTCGATAAGATTTGTTGAAAACAAAAATAATTTTAAATTTTAATTTGGAATTTATCATTAAAGTAGGAATTATAAATCTTTAATAAATCTCCAACAGAACAACTGACTGTTTTTTTTTTTTTAAACNATGAATATTAAAAAAAAACAGATAAGTCTCAAATTACAGTTTTGACTCTTACAACTTTAGAAAATTAAAACTGATTACTGATTAAAATGTATTGTATATATTAAAATAAAATTCTTTTACAAAAATATTCTTAAGTAGTAAGCATGGAGTAAAGTTTGTTTCACTGCTAAATTATTACAGCAATTTTGATTATGCTCATATTTGTGTTCATGTTATTTAACAAATAAAATATATTAATGTAATACTGAAAAAAAAATCTTATATTGTTTTAAATAACAAAATAAATTATTTGTATTACAATTTTTTACAGTTAATCTTAAATGACTGTTTTAATTTTATCACTGTAATGTTTATTTTCTTTATATAAGTAAAATATATAAGGCATATCAGTATAATAGCTTTATTTTATCTTTTTAATGGAAGTTAATTTTAAATAGTTTTGCTTTCCATCATTTAAAATTTAGTAATTTAAACTATTAATTATTCTAAGTATAATTTAAATGTACGAAAATGTATGAAATGTTATCTGATATCCTGAATGATTCCATTATAATGTAATAAAATTAAATTTTGAGTTTTAATGATGTCTTTAGTGTTGAGAATAAAGTATTGTAATAAAAAATAAGATTATTTTATAAATTAGCCCTATCAATTTTTCGAACCAAGTGTCACTTTAATTGAAATAACTATAATATAAATTTAGAAATAATAAATATCTAGCACAGATATACAAAACTCTTGTGCATGTTAATTGACATACCATTCTCATTACCTGAAATTGGAGAATAATTTTTATCTCCCAATCTCCGCCTCATTGGTCCAACATTACTGGGTGCTGGTGGTTGAAGCACTTGTGGTAATAATCTTGGTACTGGCACTATTGCTGTAGAAGTAGACATAGTTGTTACAGCTGCAGAGAGAGAGGGCGAGGAGGAACTGGAAGCAATTGTTGAAAGTTGTGGTGAAAGACGAGATACTTTTGTTGAGGATGTTGCTGGCTGAAATAAAAATTAATGTAATAATATTTAATATTGCAAATTATATTGATTTGATTTTTAATAAAAAGAATGACTCTAAATTATCAGTCTAAAGATTTCAAATCATTTGTCATATAAAAATGATCCATCTCGGATTTCGGCCATTTGAATGACCTTCCTCGGGAATAAAAATCGAATGATTTTTTGGTCGATGTTTGATTATTACTTTTATTTAATTTAATTGAAAAGTGCCGAAACTTAAAAAGATCATTTTAATCATTATATACTGACATGTTCAGAATATTCCAAATTTATATTCTTTATTCTTTTTTACAAACAGTAAAAAAGATTCCAATTTTAAAGTTATTTTTGTTTTATATGAAAGTAAAAGTAAACCTTACATAAAAAAAAAAAAAATCTGTAAAAATAAACTGGTTTATTATCAAAACTAATCAACATTCTATATAAGTTATATGTTCATTCAGGTAATGACCTTTATTATGGATTTTTTAATTTTATCACAGCTAAGATATTGTACAGATAATGTTGGTGTTTAGACTTTGTTTATTAAAAAATTAGAAATTAATAAAAACAAAAATATTATGAATTAATAAGTTTTTCATTACTGTATTACATTTAATACTACAAATTTTGAAGTGTTACTTGAAATGAGTTAAACAAATTAAAGCTTTGAAATGAACTATACAATATTAATGGCTTTCAATTTTCGGAATTAGTTGAGTTTTATATAATTTATATATGAGATCTGACAATACGACGTATCTGAAAGAGATAGAAAGAATTAAATTATGTAATTATTTCATAATATTAATGTGTATGCAAAAAAACAATTTTTAAATCTTCCTAAGATAAAGAAGGAACAACTATTTTTTCAGCTTTTGTTGTAAATTTAATTAATTAAATTATCTAGAGGATAGCATTTAAATTCCAATTGGAGAATAAAATTCTACTCTTTAGTGTTAATTGATTTATAAATAAGTCCAAGAAAATGAAATTGTATAGTTATAACCTACAAAGATATAAAAATTTTAATTTTAAATTATAATAGATATTTTTCTATCTATTATAATTTAATTTACTTTTAAGATCATTACTAACAAACATATCTTACATAAACATGCATCAATTAGCAAATTATCAAATATATAAACAGATTTTAAAAAAAAAATCAGTTCTAATTAATTTGATTAAATAAAATTTTTTAACAAAACTTTTATTTAGAATCTTACAATGGATATGCCATTGTATCTTTGTATTTCGTAAACAACTGAGAATGATGTCAAATTTTGATTGATATTACTAAATGATTCTCATGATATATAATAAATTTTCAAATGTCTTGACATAATTTAGATATTTCAAAAAATTTTATTGCTCTAAAAATAGTTTTGAATAGTAACAAATTATCAATTTCCAGTAGAAGTTAATGCATAAACAGATAAACGATAATTATTAATTAAAAAATTAAATAAGAAAGAAAGATCTAAATGCAAGAAGTGGATAAGGAAGAGAATTTAAGTTCTGTCTGTATATGTTTTTTTTAAATTTAAATTTAAACAAATAAGAAAATGTATATGGAAAATCATTTAAGTTATAGAATATTAAGAAATTAATAAAAATCATTCATTTCTAATATTTTATTTAATATGTTCAATTTTACATAAACTAAAAAAGTTGTAATTCATATAAGTGTTTCTAGTTTAAGTAAAAAGCGAATATGTTTAATAATATTAATGTAAGGGCAAGAAGCAGAGTTATTAATAATTCTAATAGTTTATAGGATAACATATATAGTAAAAGAATACTAAAAAATACAAGAAAAAAATATATTTAGTAAAAGCTCACTTTCAAGAATAATGACGGTTTTCAGTTTTTTATAAGAACTATTTTAGACACTTTTGTTTTAGTCTAAAACCCTTGTTTATAAGACATAAACCTTTCTTATATATTCATGTTATGTCTCATTCTGTAAATAGAACTCTAAAATTTTCACAAAGTATCTGCATGATACTTTTCTGTAAGATATATTCAAACCAGAAAATATTGACAGAATCATAAAACTATAGGGGAGGGTGGGGATGAAAGGGACAAGGGATGAAAGGGACAGCCTCTATAACTTGCTGCTAAATTACTTATGGAGCTTTGCTATTTCATGGATAGATGACACTAATAGTCCATAGTTTTCACACATTTGTAGGGTCCAATACATTAGCACCAGTGTTTGGAATGCCTGGATGAGCAGAAAACGCATGCAAAAGTAAGTTTTTTTCATTTCTTACATTTAGGGGTAAAATCTCAAACATAGTCATTGGATAATGTATTTAAATCAGGATAATTACTTTGAAACCTCTAAAATATGTTTATTTAATCAGTTTTAAATTATATTTCACTGTCAGAAAGTTAAGTTGTAGTTTTGGTTGTTTGAGGCCTGGGGGTTGAAAGGGACAGTAAAATAGGGAATGAATGGGACATGTCCCTTTCAACCCCATATTGACATTTTTTGCATGTTTCTAATGCTAAATTTTTTTAATAGAAAAAAATTGCCTCGAAAGTATATAAAAAAAAAAAAAACAGAAAGAACGTGAGACGCCAGAAGTGATTCAAGGGGCAATAATTGAAGTTGTTGAAAAAAGAAGCATCAATCAGGGCTACAGCCAGTGCCCAAGGAAATGCAAAATTGCATTTGGCTAAACTCGCTTCAAAATATAAAAAAGACAATGTAGTGTATTCACTGCATGTGGGTAACAGGAAAGTTTTTACTACAGAAATGGAGACAGAATTAACATTGTATTTAATGCAAGCATCATCAATGAGGACAAAATCTAAAAAGCAGCTGTTGCAACATATTCCAGAAGAAACTGAAAGTGAAGATGAAAGATCTCAAAGCAGCTCTTCCTCAACGTCTGATGCAACATCGAGTGAGGGATCTGATATCAAAAACACTGTCAAACATGTTCAGCCCAATGATTTCATTTTAGTCAGATTTGCAAAAAAACTTCTGTTGTTTACTTTGTGGGAAAAGTTTTGAAGAAACTGAGTGATGAAGACTTGAAAGTCAAGTTTATGAATAAATATTGGGATGTTTCAAGTTTATATTTCCTGAGGAGGATGATATCAGTGATGTTTTAAAACTACCCCATCCATCCCAAGCAGGAGGAACGGCAAGAGCAAGCAAACATTACATTTCCCACCGATTTCACTTCATATCAGCTGGGATAAATTGCGAAAAACATTCTATTGACCAAAGAAAGACAGTTTAATTATGTGATAGCCTACTGATTGTGATATTCTTTAGTTATTGTTCTTTGTTTGAAAAGATTTGATATTCTTTGTTTTAAAAATATTGATAATTTTTAACTGTTTAAAATAATTGTGATGTCACAAAATTCATATTATTAAAACTGTAATTTTTAAAAATTTTAGTCTCTAGTTTATCACTTTTCAGTTATAATGAAATTTGAAAACATTGAGATAACTAATTCCAAGTTTTACATTAAAACGCGGGTAGTCCCTTTCATCCCCGAGGGTGTCCCTTTCAACCCAGATGTGGGAATGAAAGGGACACCTGGAGAGGTCTTTAAAAATGTGAAAATGTTCAACTACCAATATAATAGGATGAATTCACAATATGGTCAGAATAAAGTAAAGGTCTAATGAATCTTTTGCACTAAAAATAAAACTGATTAGAAGTGAACTTTTTCAGTGAAAAATAAAAATATGAATTTTGTCCCTTTCATCCCCACCCTCCCCTACATTCAGAATTTGGCAAGTTATGTTATACTAAACTGTTTTATCTATGCACTCTGCCATTACCTAAAATGTATGTAAATGCTGTCTCTGTAGATGTTTTAAGCATTTTAATTTGCTCAATTCTATTTGAAACAGTACTTCAAAGATTGTATTACTAAAAATATGTATTTATTATTACTAAAGTTATCAGATATTATCTGTCATAGCATAAGGGCTGTCCATTATAAAGGGCTAATACATGAAAAAAATTAGAAACTCCTGATCTAAAGTCACATTACATTGCCTTTTCACTATAGTAGGCATTTTTCTGAATATTTTTCATTTGTAATGAGAGCAGTAAAATATTATTGAATGTATATTGACAGTGCCTCTTCACTCATGAAAATAATGTGAAACTGGACATTGTGGATATACAAGAGACACCATGTGACAACATGGATCTGCTGTGTGTTGCCATACAAAGTTCCATTATTTGATTTCTAGAAATTACTATTTATTTATTATTTACATTTTTATTTCATTGTATAATCTCTAAAATTAAAATTTCATAATATTGTGTAATATACACTGTATACTTTACCATTATTAATCAACAATGCATATGTGAAATAATGTATAATGGTGCAACGTATATAAAGGACCTTCTACACATAAATATTCACATAAAATCAAAAGTTATTAATATATTTTTAGAACTAATAACTTTTGTATATATAGAAAAGTTATTATATACTAATAAATTATATAAATAATTTTGTTTGAAAGTTTAATATATAAATTAATAATATTACTGTATCTGTTTTGGAAGTAGATGAATTGTTATTAGATGGAGATGGCTGTGTCATATGCAAATGCTGCATCATAGCTTGAAGCCTTTCTTTTTCCTTTGACAACTGAAGTTCTAGTTGTGATACAACTTGCATTTGAACACGAGCCTGGGCAGTACTTCGATCATCTAATTGATGTTCAGTATTTAGATGCCTAGAAAAATGATAAAATAAATTTTTAAATAAATTATTATTAATTTTTCTACTTCTGAAAAATGTTTCAAGATACAGTCGACCCCCTATAACACTATTGATTATTCCGTTTTATATGAATTTCATGTTGTACGAGTCACTTAGATTTAACAAATACATATGCCAGGCTATGAACGGCTCACATATTTGTAAAATCTAAGTGATGCGTACAACATGGAATTTATATAAAACAGAATAATCAACAGTGTTATAGGGAGATGATTGTATTTAATGATTTAATTTATAATATTCTGTACATTTAAAATTTATTAAAATAAAGATAATCATTTTAAACATTTTTTTTTTAATATTAAGCTATATAAATTTTTTTTCTATTTATGAATGTAAAAACTTTTTAAATATGTATTTTTAAATTAAATAAAAAAAAAAGCCATTAAGAATATAAAATGGCAGATGTTTTTATATTATAATTATTTTAGATATTCTTAAACATACATATAAAAATATAAACAATACTCATATTTAAATAAATTTTCTGTATTTAAATATAGATAACATGTATATATTATTTTTAAGATGATAATAAATTTGAAATTTATTTTTTATTATATAATAAAAAATAACAGGATAACAGGATATTGCATTCAGTTTAGTAATAAAGACTATTTAGAAAGTGAAACAGCCAAACAAGGAAAGAATATCAAAAATAAAATAAAAATAAATCTAAATATTTGAAATATCTCGTATATAGTCTTTAAAATCTGAATTTATAAAAACACTGATATATAATTTTATTATGATGATAAACATCGTATCTATAATAAATAAAATATCCGAGTTTACTTTATTAACTTTTTAGATATTTTTTTTTTATTAAACAATATAACTAAATGTCATTTTTAAAACAGAAGTAACACATACTCTAACAAAACTATTAATTATATTCGCTTAACTGCGTTATGAACTTATATGCAGAAACTTAGCACATTTAATGTCGAGTTTCGGTATAATTGTCATTTACATCATTCAAAATGTAAAATGCTACTGTTTCTGCTTATATTGTTACTTTTTTACTTTATTTCATAATAGCATGAACTACCAAAATGATTTATAGTTATATAATAGCATAAAAATGATGTTGTAATTTAAATTATGATTTTTGCTTTTTTTAAAATCATTTTTATATAATTTTGTAATAAAACTATGATAGTTTTGAATTCTGTTAAAGTAATAGATAGAAATAAAAAATTAACTATTTTTCTTCTAACACTATGGCAGCTTGTCTTGATTTAATTGTTATTTTTCAAGGATAATGAGATATAATCTTATTAGAGAGGAAAAAAAACCACTGGCATTAATACAACATTTGAAGGTCAAGGCCATCTTATTGGCAGTTCTCCAAAATCAAACAGGCATAAAATTTCATATCCTAAGGTTTGGAAAATATGCAATAAAATCTCGGTAGATTCATTTTTATCACAATTCAGAGACAAATCTTTGAAAAATATGAGAAGACAATTAATGATAAGGATAAGATCGAAACTCATAAGGGATACAATTTTTATTACTTTGATCCGAGATTTTACGAGAGACCGCGACTCAAGTTTAGACCTACAAATCTGGCGATTTTTAATACCTATATTCAATTACTTAGATGATGTTATTTTAAAATATAATAAAACTTTATGCTTATAAATTTACATACTAGTGGTACAAACTTCGTTTAATTTAGCACAAAGGTAAGAAATTTTTCGGAGTTTTAGATGTGCCAATTCATCGGTGCCAGTGCAGAAATGTACCAAGAAATCTCTACGAATTCCCATTCAAATTTCATGAAATATTCTAAAACNCTTTTGCACTAAAAATAAAACTGATTAGAAGTGAACTTTTTCAGTGAAAAATAAAAATATGAATTTTGTCCCTTTCATCCCCACCCTCCCCTACATTCAGAATTTGGCAAGTTATGTTATACTAAACTGTTTTATCTATGCACTCTGCCATTACCTAAAATGTATGTAAATGCTGTCTCTGTAGATGTTTTAAGCATTTTAATTTGCTCAATTCTATTTGAAACAGTACTTCAAAGATTGTATTACTAAAAATATGTATTTATTATTACTAAAGTTATCAGATATTATCTGTCATAGCATAAGGGCTGTCCATTATAAAGGGCTAATACATGAAAAAAATTAGAAACTCCTGATCTAAAGTCACATTACATTGCCTTTTCACTATAGTAGGCATTTTTCTGAATATTTTTCATTTGTAATGAGAGCAGTAAAATATTATTGAATGTATATTGACAGTGCCTCTTCACTCATGAAAATAATGTGAAACTGGACATTGTGGATATACAAGAGACACCATGTGACAACATGGATCTGCTGTGTGTTGCCATACAAAGTTCCATTATTTGATTTCTAGAAATTACTATTTATTTATTATTTACATTTTTATTTCATTGTATAATCTCTAAAATTAAAATTTCATAATATTGTGTAATATACACTGTATACTTTACCATTATTAATCAACAATGCATATGTGAAATAATGTATAATGGTGCAACGTATATAAAGGACCTTCTACACATAAATATTCACATAAAATCAAAAGTTATTAATATATTTTTAGAACTAATAACTTTTGTATATATAGAAAAGTTATTATATACTAATAAATTATATAAATAATTTTGTTTGAAAGTTTAATATATAAATTAATAATATTACTGTATCTGTTTTGGAAGTAGATGAATTGTTATTAGATGGAGATGGCTGTGTCATATGCAAATGCTGCATCATAGCTTGAAGCCTTTCTTTTTCCTTTGACAACTGAAGTTCTAGTTGTGATACAACTTGCATTTGAACACGAGCCTGGGCAGTACTTCGATCATCTAATTGATGTTCAGTATTTAGATGCCTAGAAAAATGATAAAATAAATTTTTAAATAAATTATTATTAATTTTTCTACTTCTGAAAAATGTTTCAAGATACAGTCGACCCCCTATAACACTATTGATTATTCCGTTTTATATGAATTTCATGTTGTACGAGTCACTTAGATTTAACAAATACATATGCCAGGCTATGAACGGCTCACATATTTGTAAAATCTAAGTGATGCGTACAACATGGAATTTATATAAAACAGAATAATCAACAGTGTTATAGGGAGATGATTGTATTTAATGATTTAATTTATAATATTCTGTACATTTAAAATTTATTAAAATAAAGATAATCATTTTAAACATTTTTTTTTTAATATTAAGCTATATAAATTTTTTTTCTATTTATGAATGTAAAAACTTTTTAAATATGTATTTTTAAATTAAATAAAAAAAAAAGCCATTAAGAATATAAAATGGCAGATGTTTTTANATGATGGAATAAAATCATGATTTATTAAATGAATTTTGAAAGTCTTACTTTAAAAATGCCTGTTGTGTATCACATACAGTTTCACAACCAGGCCACCGACAGACGCCATGACCGTACAAAGGATGCTTGGAAGGACTTGAGGCACTATTAACTTCTTCCTTTAATGTAGAAATGGAACTAGATGGTTGATTGAATGATGTGGATACATCTGTTTGGCCATTGACAGCTTGGGAAGATGTTGAAGTTTGGTTGCTAATTAATGGAGGGGAATGTAACAATCCATTAAGTCCTGTCAATTTTGCTCCATTCTCTTCTTGATTACCATTTCCTTCTTTCCAAAAATTTTGGAGATCATTTGGAGAAAGACCTAATAATGTCAAGATGTCGAATTTTGAGAAAAGATAAGTTAAATTCTTATTTTACATTTTTATATTACATCAATTAATAGAATCAATTTATTACTAAATATTATAATAAACATACGAGAAAATTATAATGCATATCAATTTCAACTTACAGTAAAATATGTTTATTGCAATAATTTTGAAAATTTCGTATACTGTTAACATAATTACAATAAGCAGTTTACTGTACGTTCAATTATAAAATGTTTAGATTATTATGAAATAAACATCTAAATATGAAAATATAATTAAAAAAAGCTATTAAAATATTTTTAAAAATTATATTTTATATATATTAAATCAGTATTAAGTAAACTGTAACTTAATGAGAAAATCTACATTAATAAATACAATGAATCAATAATTAATTATTTGCATTGATTAGATTATTATTTACATTTACATTTTATTAAAATTTAATGTAAATGTTTTGCTTTTAACAATTTTAAATTAATTAAAAAAAACAAAAAGCAGTGGAATTAAAAGTTAGCAAATTTTAAAATCAAAATTTTCTCTGATGAAAAACTTAAGAAAGAATTTTACCTAAGAAATACTGTTGATGGCCTAATTGTATCTGTTGCATCAACTGATGTTGTTGCACAGCGAGTTGCTGTAGTTGAACTTGCAACTGATGACGATTATTAACTTTTTCTCCCGAACCCGAAGTGGCGCTATTAAGTTGCTGTAATATTTGTGTTTGCTGAACCATGTTTAGCTGCAGTTGTTCTTGAAGATGCGGTATCATCGATTCAAGCTGTTTTAATTGTTGTTGCTGTTGCTAAAATAATAATAAAAAGTAATAAAATGGCTAGTGAGATATTATTCCATTACTTTTTATTAAAAAAACTTCCACTCGCGTAAATGATTTTTAAAACAAACCTGTTGTTGTAAAAATAAGGATTGTTGTTGATGCAATAATTGTTGAATCTGAGTTGGAGAAAGAACTTGTTGTTGTAAAAGCTGTTGCATCTGCTGACGAACCAATAATTGTGGATTCATCATTAATAACGATGGAGAAAGAGATAACAGAGATGAGCCATCAGATATAGAATGGCTTAATTTGGATCTCTGTGGTTTGGAAGTCTAGAAAACAAACAAAAAATTTAATCATTAAAATTGTAATGTAATTCAATTAAATAAAAATAAAAAAAAAATCTTATTTTTATTATCAGTGGTTAGAATATTTATTCTGTTTACGGCATGTGTCGTATGTGAATATATCAAATTAAATATCTGAAGTTTCAAAAAGTATATCTTCCAAGGTTACACGCCGATAATTTAATTTTAACGTAATTAAATTCAGGATTTTTAAATACTTTAGGTATAATTTTTTAATGCAATATTTTGTTTCAATAAGTACAATTCAGTATCCAAAATTAATTAATAAAAAAATATTAATTACATCTATGTGATTTTATCATAAGGATGATTTTTGAAATCTATAGGAAAGCAATAGTTTTCCAAATGTTTAATATATGATGGAATAAAATCATGATTTATTAAATGAATTTTGAAAGTCTTACTTTAAAAATGCCTGTTGTGTATCACATACAGTTTCACAACCAGGCCACCGACAGACGCCATGACCGTACAAAGGATGCTTGGAAGGACTTGAGGCACTATTAACTTCTTCCTTTAATGTAGAAATGGAACTAGATGGTTGATTGAATGATGTGGATACATCTGTTTGGCCATTGACAGCTTGGGAAGATGTTGAAGTTTGGTTGCTAATTAATGGAGGGGAATGTAACAATCCATTAAGTCCTGTCAATTTTGCTCCATTCTCTTCTTGATTACCATTTCCTTCTTTCCAAAAATTTTGGAGATCATTTGGAGAAAGACCTAATAATGTCAAGATGTCGAATTTTGAGAAAAGATAAGTTAAATTCTTATTTTACATTTTTATATTACATCAATTAATAGAATCAATTTATTACTAAATATTATAATAAACATACGAGAAAATTATAATGCATATCAATTTCAACTTACAGTAAAATATGTTTATTGCAATAATTTTGAAAATTTCGTATACTGTTAACATAATTACAATAAGCAGTTTACTGTACGTTCAATTATAAAATGTTTAGATTATTATGAAATAAACATCTAAATATGAAAATATAATTAAAAAAAGCTATTAAAATATTTTTAAAAATTATATTTTATATATATTAAATCAGTATTAAGTAAACTGTAACTTAATGAGAAAATCTACATTAATAAATACAATGAATCAATAATTAATTATTTGCATTGATTAGATTATTATTTACATTTACATTTTATTAAAATTTAATGTAAATGTTTTGCTTTTAACAATTTTAAATTAATTAAAAAAAACAAAAAGCAGTGGAATTAAAAGTTAGCAAATTTTAAAATCAAAATTTTCTCTGATGAAAAACTTAAGAAAGAATTTTACCTAAGAAATACTGTTGATGGCCTAATTGTATCTGTTGCATCAACTGATGTTGTTGCACAGCGAGTTGCTGTAGTTGAACTTGCAACTGATGACGATTATTAACTTTTTCTCCCGAACCCGAAGTGGCGCTATTAAGTTGCTGTAATATTTGTGTTTGCTGAACCATGTTTAGCTGCAGTTGTTCTTGAAGATGCGGTATCATCGATTCAAGCTGTTTTAATTGTTGTTGCTGTTGCTAAAATAATAATAAAAAGTAATAAAATGGCTAGTGAGATATTATTCCATTACTTTTTATTAAAAAAACTTCCACTCGCGTAAATGATTTTTAAAACAAACCTGTTGTTGTAAAAATAAGGATTGTTGTTGATGCAATAATTGTTGAATCTGAGTTGGAGAAAGAACTTGTTGTTGTAAAAGCTGTTGCATCTGCTGACGAACCAATAATTGTGGATTCATCATTAATAACGATGGAGAAAGAGATAACAGAGATGAGCCATCAGATATAGAATGGCTTAATTTGGATCTCTGTGGTTTGGAAGTCTAGAAAACAAACAAAAAATTTAATCATTAAAATTGTAATGTAATTCAATTAAATAAAAATAAAAAAAAAAACTTATTTTTATTATCAGTGGTTAGAATATTTATTAAAATTGTTTCACATTCTTTAAAATCTATATTTATAGAAAATTAATTAATTTTTCAGGCGAGTTATCATGTTTCAAGATAAATGATACAAATTTCGTCGCACAGTCAAAGTTAGAATATTTTGAATGGAATAGGATGGAAATGGTCAAGGAGACACCTAAAGCTTATTGGGGAGGGAGGTAAAGATCACTTGCATGAATGATGCCAAATGATATTAAGAAGTATTATTGTTCCACCCATGATATGCCATTTACCTGTTCCATATACTGTTTAGTTATAGTTGTCATAGTAACACTTGGGTGTGGTGAAAAGCAAGGAAAAAGGTCATGGAAATAGGATTCATTGGTTGGATAACAAACAGTTGCTCAATTGCAATAATGTTAAAGTGACAAAAAACAAAATCATGTTTTTTTTTTTTAAACAATGAAAGGCTTATATATATATATATATATAAATAAGCCTATATCAGGCATATAGCCTGATATGTTTCTTTACGTATCTGATCACAATTATAAGAATAACAAAGCGCAAGCATTACCAAGCCTTATCTGCAATATAAAAAAATAGATAAGATTTAACAAAAGGTGTATAATATAAGGCTAATTATATTAAGATTAATTAAAATATGTTAATACTCTTTAAATACAAAGCAAGATAAGTTATCTCGAATTATGATTAATGAATTTTTTTCACGAGGATGACACAATTTTTTTTTTCTATGTCAACGTCATTGTATAATTTCAACGTATCTGGTAAACGATACTTTTACAGGAAAATGTCTGTTTTCTTCTTAATGGAAGAATTAATTCTTTTTATAGATATGGGTCAGTGTTCAACGTGATGGCAAATAAGTCTCTTACTCGCTATCGTATGACCGGTCAACAA